CTCATCTCATAAACTGCACGCCAAATAAGACATAGTTGACTTTTTGAGTGTAAGTCGTGCAAATACAAAGTCTTTTATAACTGCTTCTAGTCCCGCCTGATGAGATGCAAGCGAAGAGTTGTGAATAATGAAGGTGCTCACAGACCAGTGAAATGATTCTTGCAATTTTGTTGAATGAGTTCAAGTGTCTGCCTACAACAGGATTACAAGGTGGGTGAGGAGCACAGCACAACCGCAGGTAACTACCTACCTGAATAGGGCCAGTCGCCAGTGAGCATCTCATTGATATTTAAGTATTGGTTTGTAGGGATTTGGTTGATTGGTTACAGGATTTCATCATGAGCTGACATTGGTTCCCACTGGGGTTCCAGTGGGAAGTTGTGACCAGTAGGGTGCAGCAGGTCGGGTGTGAGGACAAATACTCGCCGAAGACACTGGCTAGCAGTCGCGCTATATCGTGAATTGGCAGAAGTTAGAATGCATGGGCTGGCCATTGGATCGGGTCCCAGTGGCTTAATGGTATTCGAGCTCGCCTTGTAACCAGGAGGTCCTCGGTTCGAACCCTGATGGGTGCGTACTGATTAAGAGTCCCAAACTAAGGCGAAACAGCTGTGCAGTACTCCCAGGTTTTCGAATGGTTCTCTAACCAATGTCAGCTCATGATGAAATCTTGTAACCAATCAACCAAATCCCTACAAACCAATACTTGAAGAAAATTATTCATTTTGGAACAATCTGCCTGGAGACAGACGGATATGCTAATAGTCAAATCACCAGCCTACCTAAAAACAGCATTAGAATGAGGCAAGTCATTTAAGAAAAAAGAAAAGAGGAAAAATCAGATCAGCACCTTGAGGAACATTGGCTATAATAAGTAAAGCAGTGAAAGAATATCCTTTATATTACAGTGTACTGCCTCTTATCAGAAAAATAAAAATGCAACGAATTATCAACTCAGCAGCTTGTCTGTGTCACAGAAAGCTTGAATATGGGGTCAGAGATAGATCTGTAATCCCGGAAAGCACACCAAACAGATTTTGCGCCTTTATAAAAACTGTGGTTTATCACTTCACCCAAAAATCTGCTTTCTTCGATTAAGCGAATGAAATATCAGTGGTGTAGATACTCGTAAGTACACTACTTATTATGTTCAATATTTATTTTCTTATCGATATAAAAATTACGTGCAAAGAAAACAATTTCTATCTTTTTTAAACTCGTGGCTGATATTTTTCGGTTGAATACAGCTTAAAAAGATATCGCACAGACAAATTGTAACTGTTTTTGATTAAGAGCTCATTTTATTGTCCTTCTTTTAGCAACCTTGTATGTATGTATGTGTGTGCGTTCACCGGTGTATTTATACAAATACACAGGAAGTTAGAAATTCGTCTGTCATAATGAGAGCGCCATAATATGTCTGAAATTAGTAGATGATAATGCGAATATATGCCATTATTGAAGTCTAAAGTGTACTCAAGATGTATATATACTTTTCCCAAATGAAATTAAACACACTTTTTCAAAACAATTTACACACCTAGAAGATAAAAATATTTGTTTCAATATCTTAGATTCATTTTAATATCAAACTGGTGTTTTGATAAGCCTTAATTTCTTTACAAAAATCCTTGAATTACCAGTTAATATAAAAGAAGGAAACGTAAGAACCTGTCGATGTATAAAGCGTCAATTTAAAAAAAACACTCAAGAGGTCTTCCATACTGATAATTTCAGTGTTTCAATTAGATTTCAAGAAAAACTGATATTGGAGGATTTCATCATGAGCTGACATCAGTTAGAGAATCATTCGAAAACCATTAGGAAGTACTGGACAGCTGTTTCGTCCTAGTCTGGAAGTATTCATCGCTATGCACCCACCGCCAGCGTTCGAACCGCAGACCTTCTGGTTACAAGGTCAGGGAGCTCGTAGACCACTAAGCCCCTGAGACCCGATCCAGTGGCCAGTCAGTGTCTGAATCCTAACTTCTGCCGATTCATCACATAGCGCGACTACTTCACAATGTCTTCTTCGACGAGTTATTGTTTCACCTTCAACCTGCTGTACCCTACTGACCACGCCTTCCCACTGATGAAGAGTCCCAAAATGTGACGGAACAGCTATTCAGTACTCCCAGATTGTTTTCCAATGGTTCTCTAACTGATATCAGCTCATGATGAAATCCTCCAACCTACCAAACAAAATCAATACTAGAAAAACCGATGTCTCAGACTACTACTATATGATCCAAAAATCATTCAAACTATAGGCCAGAATCATCCTTTAGTGCAACTTGCTAGTGTTTCAAATTAAAAAGCTTCTAAAAGTATATTTTTGCTGATCAAGGATAAATGGAAGAGAAGTAGATACTGACGTTAAGCAACCACCACCACTATCGAAAACCTCGCTTAAAATTTATCAATTTTCTTCCATTTCTTGCATTCGAGGAAGAATGTAAGTCTTCAAACTATCAAGTTTCACTAAGGATATTGTTTCTTTTTACAGGGGAGGAAATGTTGGCCGCATCCCCCATCCTCTCCACTCCTTTCTGGGTGTCCTACCGGCTAAGCGAGACTTAGAATTAGGAATCAAACCTCAACACTTCTCACGACTGGTAGTCTTTCTGCCACTGAACTACTGAATATCATTCATCAATACGTGATACTTAATAATATCGATTGATTAATAGTCTTAAGAAATTTCGCCTTTTAATAATCATAAGTGAGTTGACTTCAGATAATAGAAAGACGGAAAGACATATAGCCAATGAAATTGTTGATCTCTTCAGGTTACCTCATTCTACATTATACCATTCAAATGAAAGGTTAACATTAGGAAAGTTATGAGACTTCATAGTATCAAAATAAGAGATGGTGTACAAAAAATATGGTCTCACTAGGTTAAAGTCAAGCCGAGATAAACTTACTGGCTAAATTCTATGCATTTTTCTGAGAAAATTTATCTTACGTAATTTCTTATCTTCATATTCGATGATATTATCAATGCTGTCGGTAATTTTCGAAATTTGTCCGTAAAATTAATAATGAAATAAAAAATATTACAATTTTTCTGTCGAATACATTCCACCCCAATATTTTAAGAAAGAACAAAATAAGTAAAAAGTAAAAAAAAAACAAAAAAACCAAAGAAGATTCTCGACTGCTGATAATTTAATAATAAATTTTCAACCATCACAAAATGTAAATGAAATTTTTGCGTGTACAAATATGATAATTATTATGATAAAAATATGTCACTATACACAACTAACAATTTAATCGGTTTGCTTTACTTTTCTCTTTTTAACCAGACTAAATTAGTCGTTTATTTTAGGTAGAAGACTTAAACCGACAATACTGTGACATAAATTCAATGAATAAACAAAGTGAAATAATTGAAAATCACTCAAATAAAATGACAATATCATGCCATAAATGTTCAATGAATAAAATATTCAGGATGAAAGAGAAAGAATAAAGTCTTGTGATAGGGAAAATATTTCGTCATATTTCGTCATCTTAGAAATAAGTAGATTAAAATAAAATGATTTTTAAAAATTAACTAAATGAAATATATTTAGAAAGAAAAAGCTATTTATTTAACTAGCACTGCGTGACGTGGGTTCGAGTCTCATAAGAGACATGAGTTCCTTCAAGGCTGCAGATAAGCTTTGCTGACAGGTGAGTGCTGACTAGCACGAAACCTAAGTCCAAGGCTTCCTGTGGCAGATTGCCTCCAACCATCGAGTATCAACAGTTTACAGTGCACCGTGATGGCAAGCCACCTAATGACATGGTGGCCACATTGCAAACTAGACTGATAGAATTCAGTCTGCACCAAAGATAGGACTAGACACACATACACACAATACACTAGTTACTGACTGGTGCTCAGTACATCGGCCGTACCATGCGCCGACTTGGAAAACGCGCTCGTGAACACTACCCAGCATGGCTAGAAAAAGGAGACCAAAAACGTGTATACAGTTCAGTGACAGACCATCTGGTCATTTCAGGACATTCGGTGCCATTCGAAAAATCCTTCAAAGTAATATACAGGATTCAATCAAACCTATCAAAGAGAGTGAAACCAAGATATCTGGGCATAGCTGAGGCGTTAGCTGTCCAAAAGCTCAAATCCACTCTTTGTATCCAAAAGAAATACGTCCAACCCCTGTCCCTGCCATGGCCATCATAAACAGGTAAATTTTTTAGTAATGACCATCCCATCGCCTTTCTTATCTAAACTTCCTGTTTATTCATGTTATTTTAAGTTTTTCTTAATCCCTGTCTACACTACCATATTTTCATATCCACACTTCCTGTTTATTTTTTCATTTTACTATTTCTACATATTTAATCCCTGACTGCATAAACAATTATTCATCACATTAGTTTTTTATCCAAACATCCTGTCTATTTTGTTATTTCTACATTTCTAACCCCCAATTGCACAATGTTAATCTTCTTAATTATTATAATGCTACTTTGTTTGAGTTTTATCTGTCCCCCTGTTTATTATGGCATTCTAATTCCTAATTGTAATTTTTATTAATTTGACCCTTGACCGGAAATTATTCTGGAACTTTCCCATCCATTTCATATAAATACACAAATGTACAGCCTAGATGATGACTTCGTCAAAAAGAAAATTTTCTTCGCTGCAACTGTCTTTTTATTATTCCCTACAATCAAAATAATTAACACTACCGTGAACTCCTGACGTTTGTACATTCATGAACTTCAAGATGTATACAGGCTAACATTTCTTACCACACTTGCTAAAACATGAAGTATGTGTAAGAAAACTTGCTTGTGATGAGTTTAGTCCTTGGGGCAGTCAGAATTGGTTACTACTGGAAAGATGCAGGCTAAACAACAATAATAACCATCTTAAACTCTGTTGTTTTTAGCGCTGATTTAATTCATTTTTAATTTTAATAAAAAATATTCCTCAATAGATTAATTTATTTTGTTTTTTTTTGTTTCTGTTTTATAAGGAACGAGTAATGGCTAGTCAAATGACCGGGGCAAGACTACTTCTACATCCAGGTGCATCTTATCCTCGTGTCGCTGAAGAAGGTGTCAATTTAATGCCTGGTACAATGACTGATATAAGATTTACAGTTTATGAATGGTCTATGATGGAACCACCTCATGGTAGATGCAGTAAAAATACACCAAATTTTATATCATTCAATAATGTTAATTATACATTCAGTGAGGAAGCGTGTCATGTGCATAAATTACAACAGAAAGTTGCTTCAAACTGTCAGTGTTTAACACAACAACTACCAATACCTACAAATCTACTTAACAAAAACTTAAGAAAATGTCAAGGATTCAAGCTACCCGCAACTTATGAAACACTGGATAACTTTAATGCATCTAAACAGTTATATTTTAATATCGAAACAGTTGCTAATTTCTCACATTTTGCAAAATGTGCAGAGACAGTTAGTACAGCTACAGATGGTTATCAAATGGGCTGTAGACCAGCATGTGTGAGATACACTTATAAACCGAGTATAACAGCTGCTCAATGGCCAACAAAAACTTTTTTAACTTGGTTTGTTACGAAAGTAAGTATTTTGCGCCTAAATTTTAATGTATAATTTATTAAAAAAATATATAATAGTCTATTACTGGTTGATATGTGTGGCATTGTGTGGTAATTACAAAGACATAAAAATGGTCTTATAGATAATAACGGCTGAAACCATCACCTTAAGATAACTGACACCATGAAAGCGTTGCTAAATAGCAGTTGAAAAGCCAAATGTCAAGAAAGGATTGTTGACAATAAAAGTCTAACAGCGAGTCAACTAAGAACCTGTTGTTCAACAAAAATGCCCAAGACAGTGGAGATGGATCGGACACGCAGTAAGAAGACAGTTGAATGATACCACATACCATATCCTAGGGTAAAAGTCAAATGGGAAACGACAGTTTTAATGTGGATGTGGTAGGGACATGGAAGATATCGTGTGAGAAAGCGATGAGAGACTATGGACAGTCGTGGAACTAGCTAAAGAAGTCTACAAAGAACAGGATGAAATGGAGATGTCTTCTTGAAGCTGTATGTTACACTTGCGACCCAAGGGAATAATAATAGTAAATGGAGACAGAGAGACTTATCACTGAATATTTATTCGTCGAATCAACACCAAACATGTGCAATCGAAATGACGCAGCACCCATACTGAATATGTGGAGAATCGCAACAATCAACAGGGGGGGACGGAAAAAATGTATAAAGCAAATTATAAAGCCATGTGAATATATTCATATGGTTAAAGGCAATAATTTTCAAGTATTGGTTTAGTAGGGATTGTGCTTGATTGGTTGGAGGTTTTCATCATGAACTGACATCAGTTAGAGAACCACTGGAAAACCTGTATAGCTCTTTCGTCCTAGTTTGGGACTCTAGTGGCTTAATAGTCTAATAGCTAGCCTTGTGACCAGAAGGTACTGGGTTCGAACCCCGCAGTGTGGGTGCCTGCTGTCGCAGAAACCCAGGCTAGGACGAAACAGCTGCCCGGTACTCCCTATTGGTTTTCCACTGGTTCTATAACTGATATCAGCTCATGATGAAACCATCTAACCTATAGGCAATAAATTGTGCTCGAAAAGTTATTTTTTATTGCGTTACGTCCCGAGTGGAACATTGGGCTTCAGACTACAACTATGAAGTTTCTGTAGCAGTGATTTTTATTTTTAAGGGGTGAGGTTGCTGGCATCACACCCAACCTTTCCTTTTTACCGGACTTACTACCAGCTTAGTGAGGTTTAGGATTGCGTCGGACTAGGGTTGACCCCCAGTCCACGTGGATGGTTGGTGAGCGTTATACCGCTCAACCACCAGTGCTTCGAAAAGCCATCCAGTTATCAATACTATTGTACCGGTTTTAGCTAACTCCAGCCACGTCCTATCAAATTCAAATCACGCAATATTTTGCAGCCAAGTTTCTGTACAGAACTTCCAATTATTATATCCAATTAAGGAGGATAAACAACGACCGACAATACAAACCAATATTTAAAAATAATATTATAATGTAGAATTTTAGCCGAAATATCCTGTAAATTTCATGTTTTTGTTCTAATAAGTAATAGTATATGTCTTTGTTTATTCTGATTTTGCATACAGTTTTTAAAAGAAATGGAAACTGAAGGCTATTCACGTTTGAATACAACAAATAATGAAACAATCGATGCCTTCAACATACGTATGGAAGAATTGCGTAAACCTTTACAAATTTATGAAAAAATTGGCAATTTAACTAAAGAAGGCAATTTACAAGAAGCTATAAAATTGCTTATGGAAACACAAATATTTGAACAAAACTTTTTATCAATTATAATATCAAGACCAAATTTTGATTTAGAACGTGTTGAAGAAAAAGCAGTTGTTTCATTAACATCTTTATTCAGTCAAATTGGAGGTCTTTTGAGTATATGGATTGGATTAACTTTTGTATGTATTGTTGAGATTGTAGAATTAGGCTTGAATGTAGCAGATGCTGTGATTCATCATAAGAAGTCAAAATCATAATATTATTCAATAGTTTCAATGGTTTACATTGAATATGTATAAGGTGTTATGGTTTTGATAAGTGGAAATAGTAAAGAAGAATTGTCTTTCTTTTTAGGAATGTGATTTAAAACACCAGAATATAGAAATAATAATAATAATTGAACAATAACATCATTCTGAAATAATTTATAGAATCTTGTTTGAATTATTTTCCTACTTAACATGTCGTGAAAACATGGTGATCAGAGAGAGAGAGAGAGAATTTGAACTAGATTTGATTATTCCTTCTTTTTTCTCTTTTTCTTTTCTGCTTTTTTATATATGTATATACAATTATTTACATAAATACATTCTGTGATGCAGTACAATGTCATTTTTTGCTAAATTTATTAGTTTAAAGTTCATCAACATAAAGCGGAAGTATTGGTATTATGAAATGAAGGCATTTACTGTTACTGACACAGTCACATGCATCGTTAAGTATTCAAGGAGAATACTAAGAAATCGAGTTATACAAATAATCTTAAGACCTTATTTTCATTGAATTAATTATTTAAGTATAAGACATAAATATTTCCTCCATTCATAAGATTATTGTAAGAAAAACATTAGTAATTTTGTAGTCCCTAAGTAAGCAGATGTTGAATTCACGTAAGCACATAAAGAAGGAACAACTTGTCCCTCAGGAATCATTCCTTCCAAACTAGCTAAGGCGAAATATACAAATTGTGCATAGTACATTATAATCACATTTGCTACTCATGAAGTTAGCACTTTCCAGGAATTGATTTAAAACCCATCTTCAATGGCAGAATATGAAGTGAGTAGTTGTGAAGAACATGGTATGAAAACCATAAATCAAATTAACAACTTTCCGTGTACACAATTCAAGTGGTGACATTTTTACCACAGTTTCCTTTGAAACCAAATTGTTCAGATCACAGTCTGTGATCTGCTTAGTACCATAAATGGTCATCAAGAGAGCAAGTGAATTTGCATAAAACCATGTATTACACAACTACACATATATACAACCGGTGATGAGCTCAGCCCCAAACCAGCGAAATGGCCGTCCGGTGTTTAGGCCACGTCGATCTGGTTAGCAAGCACTACTGGTTGATATGACTGGCATACAACTACTCATGTCAGTCAATCAGTAGTATGAAAATGACTCGCAAAAATATTTTCACCGGCTTTCAACGCATATCTTCCGCTATTACCCTACTCACGTTCTATTTAATTTCGAATACCTTTCATGTTGGTATTTTGTACTGTAAAAGCTATTCAGCAGGAAGGTGTATATTTAGGTTTCACAATTATTGGCCTAAATCAGTAAAACTGATTGGTAACTTAAGAAATACTCTTTGTGGAATTCTACCCTACCTCGCTTGTTGTCAGTGTCATCGAATTTACTACTCAACAACTTAGGAAGGGCCTTTAAAATATCAACACTCATCCTGTATATGCTATTCAAGAATTAAATGGAGTGATTTACCTACCAAAAGGAGTCAAAATATTCATTAATCAGATGTGCAGTGTAGTTAAGCTTATAGTAGCTGAGAAAGCGAATACTCCACTTTAATATATAAAAAACGTGAGTAAACGGTCATTAGCTTAAGTGAAACTGTATGCTTCATTTGTGGTTACATAGACTTACATAATATAAACGTAGGAATTTCCACATCATACCTAAGAGAGCTAATACTTCGATGTACGCTCAATGTTCAATTTCTTTTCAACAATGAAATCTATAGACAGAGAGACGGGGTAGCTATGGACTCGCCACTTGATCCGTTGCTAGCAAACTTCTTCTTGGCTAGTATGGAAAGCCGTACTCCTCACACCTGCTATAAAGGGGCTTACCTTTTACAGAAGATAAGTGGATGACATGTTCATTATATGCGATGAGAACTGCGAATTGAATGACAACCTGAAAGTATTCAGTGACAGTCATCCTGAGATCCAGTTCACCTTAGAAAAGGAAACCGAAGGAAAATATCTTCCCTTGATGTGCTACTCACAAGGAGAGCTAACGGGTCTTAGAAAAGATCTGTTTGCAGGAAATCGACGTGGACAGGACAACTGACCAACTTTTATAGTTTTTTCCCTATGGATAGATAAAGGTTTCTAATCTGTTCTCTCTCAACACGGGTTCGGAGAATTTGTAGTGAAGATAGTGTTGATAATGAACTCAAACAACTGAAAGGAACCTTCGTAGAGAACGGATATCCACTTCGCTTCGTAGAGGCCAATAGCAAAGTAAGTACGAGAAATACACAGATTGATAAGGTTGGTAAAAAAGTGATGAACCTAAACATAGAATTTATGGGTGACTCTGCGGGTGAAATACTTAAAAATTGCCTGACCAGATCACTGAGAAAAACTTTCTTTGCTACCGCTTTACGAATAACCTACTCCAGCTGTCCACTAGTGCTCCTTAAGGTCAGGGAAATGTTATCTTGATTGTCTAATTCCATGTGTATTTATATGTTCACCTTCTCTTGCGGAGCTAGATACAAAGGACATTCGTCGAGAAACATACCCCGCCGCTTTCGAGAACACCTCCCAGTTTGGCTGAGCAAAGGGAAACTTTGGGGTATAAATTCATCGGCATTACAACATATTGTAGATACTGACCACGCAGCGTCTGACACATCGTTAAATGTAGTCTACAAAGTCCAACAAAGTTTGCCGAAAGGGACACGAGTGCATTTACTTTGTATAGCAGAAGCTTTGGCAATACATATATAGAGGCTGACGGTATTGAGGTTCACGGATAGTAGGAAGTATACTAACGCGATATCTAATACCCACAACTTCTATAGTATTCGTTCCACGTAGACCAAGGGCAAAGCAAAAGACACGATTTGATCGTCCAAATTACGAGATATATTTCAGGACCAAATCGGAGTGCGAGTTGATTGCTTAGCTGGCTAGTGATCGTGCACGAACGTGACACGACGGAGTACCAAATGGCATGGATGCTTGACCGGAAGCCCTCAGCTAAACAAGTCGACTTAAACAGTGAGGGTCAGCATCTAATGTTCAGTGATGAGTGCTGTGGTCAATAATTTTGGGGAATGATTTGCCGCTACACATAAGATAAAGCCAAAACTTTGTGTACAGAAACAGTTTGTAAAATCTCTTTCGTTACCACGGTCTTGACTTTAATTCGCATCACAACTTTTTTATCTTTCTTTATTCCGTCTTCCATTTTTGTTTCATTTGATTTTAATTTATGTTATCATATTCTAACATTTTATCTACTCTACTACTTTAACAACATTTCACTCATCCCTTGTTTCCATCATGTTATTTTCACATATTCACATTTCCAAGTGTACTTTATTTTCTGCCCATCTGTTTCAGGCATGTTTATTGAACTTCAGGTTGACCTGTATCTTTCTGGTCATTCATTCATAGATCTAATCAATGGTGACTCATAATCCTATAAGCCAGTATAATCACACCTTAGTATTTCCACTCACTGTCAAACTTTAACACACACACACACACACAAGAAAACTGATTGTTATTGTCTATTGTACTTGATATATATATATATATATATATATATATATACGATTGTACAGCTATGAAAATGAAATCGTCGAAAAAAGAATTTATTCGCTGAATTCTTTGTTTTCATTTACTATTATTGTTCCATCGGGTTCCGAGTGGAACGTAGAGCTTCGATAGAACATCTCCACTTTGTCCTATTCTATGAGGTCCTCTTCAGCTGGCTACACGGTAGTTCATAATCTCTCAACTCCTTATCGCATGATCTCTTTCATGTCTCTCTCGGACGCCCAACTCGTTGTTCACTATTCGCATTCCACTAGAGGGTCTGGCGGGTGATGTCATCCAACGGTCTCCTCAGTGTGCATCCGATTCAACCCTATTTTCTTCAGGATATATGTTGGGCGATTGGTTCTTGGTTGGTTCCTTCACAGAGTTTCTGGCTGGCCCTTCGATCTTCAACATAGAGCTAGTAACAGCAGCTGTTGATGGAAGCCCACAGTAACCTGTTGGAAATGCTTTACGTGATGCATTCGCCAGCTTTCTGACCCATATTGAAGTGACTTCACATTTTTCTTGAAGATCCGAATTTTGTTGTTTATGCTGATTGCAGAAGATTTCCAAACCGATTTCAGATTGGAATCAGTAATAGGTCATACTACCGCGTTATTATTTTTGAATATTTAACACAGCCTTGAGTCTTATACATCCCTGAATAAATTATTCTCACACCAGAGGTGGTATGCTGGTATTCTGTGAAACTTTAGTCTCGCTGTTTTCTATTTACCACATACTTTTTCTTTATTTTAATGTGTGTCTTCTGGTAGTTCCAACCAAAAGCCTTGTCATTTCACAGCTTAATAATATCTATACGCACACTGAGGCAAAATTGTTCATAAAAGCAATTTTGTTTCCGATTTCTCTAACCAATATCCTATTATTTCCTGTTCATGCTTTAAAACGGGCGGAGAAAATAGAAAGCTGGCTGATAACCTTTTTTATTGTGTTCATTCTGTATTGTGCCGGAATGTGTATTGTCATTTCTCTTTTGTATCACTTCCTGTTAAAAAAGAAGAACAACTTCTTAAACATCTTTCACATTTCAAACTGACTGTTAACACTTTGTTTTATACAAGTTTTCTGATAAGTTTAGCTTCCACTTTAAATTATCAAGAAATAGTTTCATATAATAAAACACTGACCAGCCTACATAGTTTGGAAGCTAAGGAGTGGGCGCTGTTGTGTCTAGATTACTCAGAGTTGATGCTCAAGGAATTCTTTAAGTCATTTTTGCTGTGAATATATCTAGTACAGGCCTGCAAGAGGCAAGTCGCCAGCCCAAACAGCTCAGTGAAAAAGCCTCCAACCATAGCAAAAGTTAATTTTGGATCATATCTTCGAGAGGAGACTGCAGATACATCTTGATGACGACTATCAAAAGCACAAAATACAAGTCCACAGCTTCCTACCGACTGACTCCAGACGCACAACATTAATCA